ATGATGTCTTCATTAAAAATAAATATGTGCAGTGCTGCTAAGCAGTGTTCAAATACAGAGTAGGTGCTCTCTATTACTAACAAGTCTGGTTTTTGAGGAGCAAGAAAATTAGAAGAATACAGTATTTATAAATAAGTGTGTTGTCTGGCTTCCAGTTCCTTAGAGTTACATGTGCATTGTTTTCTGTTCACCATCCTGAAAAAAGTTTGTAGCTTTCTAGGGAATTGCTCGTATTCTTACCCTTTTTTGGTAAATAAGGGAGAGATGTTTGAGAGGTTAACCTCTAACAGAAAGGTCTATGAAGGTTTGAGTGTTTGCTAGGGAAGGAGACAAACCACTTTATTTTCCATTTCAGATCTGCTCCAGTTGTTCAATTGAGTTTCAGCCCTAGTTAAACAAAACTTCAAAGTAGTGGTTTAAACCCCACAGTTTGGTTTGGCTCCCAGAGGATTTCAGAAGTGTCACTAGAATTCATAATATAATTCTGTTTGTGAGTTTTTACTTCAATGTGGATGGCTGTTTTTTTTGTTTTGTTTTGTTGTCTTTTTTAAATTAAAGCTACCCTTTGTCTCTCAGCTATTAGTACTTTGCAGAGCCACCTCTGGACAGAAGACATGTAACACTGAATTTCTGTAGCCAAAGGGGGAAGCAATTTCTTTCTGTAGATGCCATGTGACTGCTTAGATCATTATGTTGTCTTCACTTAGAAGTGAATACTCTCTCTATCAGATATCTTTTAAAGATGTTTAGGCTTTACATCACTGGGGAGTAGAGTGGTTTTCATTCATCCTTTGCCAAATTGGCTGTATCGAAATTCCAGGTCTGGCATTTGAAGTCATGCCTGCTCTCATGCCCATGAAAAACTGAAGATACTTTCATAAGCTAAAAGAAATCTTAGTCTTTATGACCTTTTTCTTGTTATAGGAGATTGTTTTTTTGGTCTATGGCCTCTGGCCTTCAAGTGTAGCATCAGAATTTTCCACTTGTGTGTTGTGAATACTTAGTCATCAGGAAGTGCACTGCCAGGCAAATCATAGCTGTGCCTTTCCTGTTGTCACTTTTTAGTGCCATTCTTTGAACTATTGATGCACTGATGAGTTTTTCAGCAGCAAATACAGCGGAATAAAATTCATTATTCCCCAATGAACTGCTCTCCTCTCATCATATTTCTTTCAAAGACTGAAAAAAATGAATGTGATACTCTCAGTTTTTAATTACTCAAAAGATGTTCAAATTTGCTCCTTCTTCCTCCAGACATTTAGAGGATATTTATCCTCTCTTTAGCTATCATTTGCTCTCTCAGACATGCAGATGAACACCACTCTGAAAGGGCAAAGGTGAAGAAACTGTTTCATTGACTGGCCTGTGGTAGGGAGAAGAGAAAACTTTAAGAAACCTTTCCATCTGGGTCTATTTGGCAAGAGGGAAAAAGGAAAAAAATAGAGGAGTTGCTATCTTCAGGAATTCAAACCTTCTGCCCTAGAGTATGTTAAATTTAGAAAACATATTAACGTACATATTAACGTACCACAAAACCCACAGGACAGATTTCAATTGACTCCACCTAGATTTTGGTGGCAAAACATCCTGGCCACATAAACCAATGGAGCATTTTGTGTGGAAAGGCTGGCTTCAGCTGTTATTACTCAGGAGTAAAAACAGAAAGATTTATTTTGTTTTCCATTTCAGTTCTCTTCCATCTTATAACCTCAGGAGGAGAGCTTCCTTCTTTTCAATGTATCCAGATGCAAATACCTATAGAAAATAGAAAGTGGTGAAGGAGCTTTGTCCTGATGCATTCTTGACACAGAAGATTGTGGGAAGGGAGTTCTGGTCAGAGAGGATGCTTGGGATTCATCTCTGAATCTTCCCTTGGAGCTTTGTCCTGATGCATTCTTGACACAGAAGCTTGTGGGAAGGGAGTTCTGGTCAGAGAGGATGCTTGGGATTCATCTCTGAAACCTTGTCAGCTGCTCCAGAAAACAAAGCCACTTTTATGATTTGGTATTTGGACTAAGCTTGTCCCCAAATATACAATTTTTAAAAGTAATACTTTAGAGTAGGTAAATGTATTAAATGTGTTAAGGTGTGCAGTCTCTGTAGCCCTTGAAGATCAAAAGTGTCATGCAAACAAAAGATAGCCAAGGAAAACCAAATAATAATTAAAAAAAAAAGGATTGGGGGGGGGAGTGTTTAAGGAAAAGAAATATTTATTTCCAGTGGACTGAGGTACCAAACTAACCAGAGTCTTTTTAGTTTCGAGCCTAGAGAGTAATTTTGAGCAAGCCTCAAACCATTTTGAGGCACAGCAGCTGGCTTCTGTACCTAGCTGGTGTAGGAGGTCTCATGCCTTTCCCTGTCTTATAACCACTTAAAGTCCTTCTGAGATTTAAGTAAGAGGACACAGATACCTGCCATGCTCTTACTAAAATAAACTGTGGGGCTTGCATACTTCCAAGCCTGAGCACTGCTATGAATGCAGAGAGCTCATGATATTTTACTTCTAAAAAATACAACAAAAAATCCTCAATCAAATTTCTCATTATATTGGCTTGCAGTCACATACAGTTATCTCCATTATAACTTTTAATATATATTCATCTGTTCTGTTTGCACATGTAGTCTAGTAAAAACATTGATGCTGGTAAAATACTGGTTTAACTGATGCTAAAGGAGATAACCTGTGGAAAGCCTAGTAAAAGGTGAAGCCAGCATGATTAAATAAAAAAGGAGGAGATACCAGTAAGTGTAACAGTACTGAGCAGTGCTGGAAGGCTGGTGCAATGTGCATACAGTGTGCAGAGAAAGAGGAGCCGGGTGCTCTGGTGTTTTTAGAGCACAGGAAGGTCGAGGCAATGTGGTTGAGAGCTGTCTACCTTATAAGCTCTTTTGAAAGAGTAAATTTGCCCTGTTACTTGTTGAAGACAAGTAGGAAACAAAGGAAGAGGAAACTGTAACCATAGTGTGGGATGACAGGCAGAAAAAAGCAAGAACATAAAAAAAAGCAGCCCAGCAACCTCCACCTATGTAGCAGAGATGTTGCACACACATAGAGGGCTCTCAGCAGCACTGAAACATGCTGCCTTAGGGGCCAGCCCTGCTGTTTTGTGCAGCAGGAGAAGGAGGGGAAAACACCTCTGGGATGGGACCTGGAGCAGAGTGATTCCTCTCCTCAAGTTGTTCTTGGGAGCATCCTCCACAAAAGGAGCTGGGGCCCCTTCAGTTGAGAGCTGTTTTTTGGAGGTGTTTTCTCATCCTTGTGCTGCATGTTGTACTGAAAGAAGGGGTGAAATGGGACAAGAGATCCAAGCAACATCAGTACCTGTGGAAATAATTGAAAAATAAGATGCAGACACCCCTTTGATTTTCCAGGTCACATTTCCCTACCTTCAAGCACACAAATTATATAGTGCTGAGAGGGATTTTGCCACATATTCCTTTTGCCCGTGTTAACTCCAGAGAAAAGGCAGTTTTCTTTTTCCCTGATTATAGAACCGCCATCTAAACTGCAGCCAAAATTAATCCAAGTCCTGTTTATACCTATTTGTTCTAATGCCAGCAGTGTTTTCTGAATTAAATAGCTCTTCTTCACTGTTTTTTCCATCATGGTTGTGTTGAAACAGAGCAGCCTCTCAGCCTTCCCTTTGCTATGGAAAACAACCTCTTCTGGTTTCCTCTCACTTGATCAGGTTTCCCTGTACCCCTGGATCAGTTTAGTAACCTTCCACTGAACTGAGGATGTTCTGAAAGCCTCCTTGCTGCTGTGCAGATTCCTGCATCATCTTAACAAGGCCTTAAAATGGCAAAAATATTTCTCAGTCTCTACCAGAAATGCCTCTCCAGACCCAATCTCCGATCGTATTTGCCTTTTTCCGTGGCTGCATTGCACTTCGGTCAGTCATTTGGTACCATGTTAGTACACCCAGTCTAACTGATGAGTTCCTGGCTCGTGGCAGAAATTCTTATTATTAGTTCCCAGTATTTGGATTGGCATTTTCTACTTTTTTGCATCCCATTTTTATTACACAAGTCTCAGAGTCACCTTTGCCAGTGGTGCTTACTAGATTTGCATCCTTAACTTATGTAATCGGCATATTTAGAGTCTTCATGATGTGGTGAATGAATATTAATTAAAATGCTAAAGAATATCAGCTTGATCTTCAGGAGCCCCACCAGTGAATTCCTTTGATGCCAGTGTGTCTCCTTTCAGCTTTGCTGATTGCATTTCTCTTTGAGCCAGCCCCATAAGCATTTCAGAGGTCCTCTTCTAATCCATGTAATTATTCAGTCTGATGAGGCCCCTCCTCTGTGATACCATATCAGATGCTGTTACCTGATCAGATTGTACAAACACCAGCATGACAAATTAATTAAATCCCCTGCAATTTCATGCACTGGTTCTTTTATGCAGTATAGACTGTCTAGCTGTTGTTGTCCGGCCCCTACATTTAATTTATGGAGTACAGCTTCAGTCCTCAGCTTTGTCAGCATTCAGCGTCGCTGTAATTGCTGAACATACAGTGGTGAGATATTATTTTGGTTTCGGAATGATGTTTATTATAGTTTGAACCATTTTGAGTAATAATAACAGGAAGAGAATGTTCTGCTTTGTTGGCCATTTTCTGAAGCATTCGTTGTTACTTCTTTTCCCCTGTAAGCAGGGGCTTGAAGATTTCCTCCCATTTTTTTTATTTTTTGTTTTCACTGCTGTGAGATGCAAACTTGGTTGTTTACTTGGTGTGGGCAAAGTATGTAACAGAGTCAGAATGCACTGGGGTACCAGTGCCAGCAGTACTCCCACAGACCTGTGCAAAGGCATCCGCAGCAGACTGGGATTTTTTGTGAGCTGAAACTAGCAGTCCTGCTTCCCACTGACTTGGTAGCATTCCACCATGAGATCCACTGTTGCCTAGAAAATAAAATGCTTGTGTACAGCCAAATAAGCTTGTCAAAAGAGCATTTGCAGTAGGCCTGCAGCATTGTTTCCCCCAGTTGACTCCATGGCCTCCTCTGCCATCACCGCTGTTGGTAGAGATGCAGAGGTAGAGATGTCTGCTGCAGTGGAAAAGGGAAAGGTAAGCACTGCATGCCAAAGCCATGCCTTGCAAGTATTTCTTGGTCTAAAGTCTTCAAGTCTCTTCCTCTGTAAGCCTAGTAAGCCTTTTCTCATGGCATCTTGCAAGCCTGTCCTCTCCCTCTATTCCATATTCACCAGTGCAGGCATGACTGCCTGTATGTTTCTGGATGGTTTCTTGCCTTCCTGCTAGCAACAGGTTACTTTCCCATCACAGGCTTCCTGGTGAGCCAGAGAGCTCTTAAGTGTGCTGAATTCACACTGATGAGCATCCTGAAGAACTTGCAGACTTGTAACCAAGTCAATAAACCAAAAACATTTTTAATGTTGTGAAGCATAAAGACTTAATCTGTATGTATGGCTTCAAAACAGAGAATCCATCCTTGCACTGGCCTGGATTTCCCTTTCATCTTTTAAAATCTATTTATTCTAAACTAAAATGTCCTGATGGGAAATTATAGTATTCTATGGCATGACATAATGCTGGGACTGAAATAACTAACAAGAGGTTTAATACTGTTAACATCAAGCTCTCTAGAAGCAGGGAAAAGGAAAGGCTTCTGGTTAAAGGCAAATTATTGAAATGCCCTTTAGTACCAAAAAGATTAATTTATTTTTGTCTAGGTCCACTGTAGGCTTGCTTTGCAGTGTATTAATTTGCTGTAGGCAAACAACTCAGCCTGGAATCAGTAAGGTGGAAGGCCCCTTGGCTTTCAAGAGTCAAAGAGACTGTGGCTGGGGGAGAAGCCTCTGCACAGCTCCTCTACCAGAGCTCTGGCACCTTGGCTTACTTCACACTGTGTATAGTGGGGATACAGTAAAAACCCTTTTTTAGTTCATGGGTGCTTTAGTTCTTCTGATCTCTAGAGAGGAACAGTAATACTAATCAGAATGATAATTTTAAAAAATGAAAAAAAAAAATAATTGTATTTATAAAATTCTTTCATCATAGCACAATGTAAACTGTGAAATACTCCAAATAAACATTGCTCTGAAATATAAGCTTACCTGGAAGATTACAGAACCTTTGTGAACAGCCCTTAAATATCCCATGTAGGAATTTAGGTCAGAAAGCAAAGGCTAACTGTTACTTAACTGGAGCTTCAAGACTGTTTCTTCTAACAGATGTAAGAGAAACGTTCAAATCACACAAAGCAAGAAGTGTGACTTTTATCATGATCACAGGCAGCAGGGTTGAGAGTCAATAGCACCCATCAAAAGATTTGGAATATTAAAAACAATATTAAATTCACCAGACTTGGTGTCCCCACTTCACACAGAGCTCTACCATTCTATCCTTCTATTGCTATTGACTTAATTTCATCTCCTTAATTTTGTCAGGCTGGGCAAGAGAAGGAGGTCTCAGTGCTCATTACTTTTTGTTTCATGTCTTCTGGTAAGACAACTATGGAAGCAAAAGCACTTAAGGAAAGTTATTCCTCAAGGAAAAACACTTTGTGAGTTGCATTGAGTTCAGAGGCTACTGGATCAGATCCTACCACTTCCATAAAATAGCATTTTAAGTACTTTTACTTACCATTCATGAAACATGAGTTTCAAAACAGATGCTTTTGTTTCAGGTTCTTGTCATAGTACTATTTGGACCCTCAATTTGAGAAGTCCTGGTGGCTATTACAAAATTCTAACAAAAACAATTATAATGGCCTTTTTCAAAGGCCTTTGATTTTTTCCTCTTTGTTTTTTATAGCCCTTTCTCTTTCCCAGAGATGCTTCTGACAACATGTTGTCACGTTTAATGCAGCTTCATTGACTCCTCCAGAACACTGTGCACCCATCAGCTGGCACCTGCCCTCATGCTGGCTGGAAGGGCAAGTGCTTTTCCACCACAGGCAGGAAGGATGGTCCTCACTGAGTGACCACCCTATGACTTCCTGTTCCTGAGAAATTATCATTGACTGCTTTTAGTGGGGAGACTGAAGTACCTTCCTGCACCCTCAGCTTCACAGATAGTTTCAATTAAAAGCTGTCACTCCACCAAGTGTGTTAAGAGGGGTTCTCTGCTTCATGCAGGGCTGGGGCAGGGACTCTGGGTTGAGTGTTTGCATTGTGAGTCTCATTACACAAGTGTGAAGATCATGCCCATTTATCCTGACACAGCCCTCTGGGGTTTAGTAGAAAACTTTGGGTTTTAGCACTGTCAGCAGTACATCCGTAAGTGTTCCAGATATTTCTCCAAAGGTCTGAGAGCAGAGGGGGAACACAGTTGTGCTAGTCCAAACTGTGGCTTAAGAGTTGATCCCCAAATTTGGAGTAAAATAAATACCATGACTGAAAGAGGTTCAAACTATTCTTCTTTGTTCTGTTATTAGCATTTCAAGATAAGCATGCAACATAGCTTCAGAGTAAAAATGCCTTTTAATTTTGTATTGCCTATAAACGTTTCTCACACCTATAATTCAAGCCTCTTTGGTTATAAATCCACCCAGTTTCAGGGAGAAAAGGCCAGTAGATACCACTGTGACAAGCATCTGCTTTCTCTAAGGCATCTTTATTACATGGAATCAAGATAGTGTCCTGGGTGAAAACAATGCAAAAGTGCTGTAATAAAAACAAATACCTGATTTTCCTTGAAGTCTTTTGATCAGCAGCAACAGCTTTTTTTACTGGCTGCAAAAGAGAATTTGTATTATTTGAATATGTAATTGAGTGGGCCTGTTATGTCCAGGGTGAAGTCATAGAGCTAATAAAATAAATTAAATTATTCACCCAGATTTTAAGTCTATCCATTTAAGAGATTGTTAACTGTGTTAAAGAATTATTGCACTTCAGTTGTTGCTACAAAATAACATTCTGGCACTCTTGTCTGAAGTTGACAAATAGGTGACACTGATAGCTTGAATTTGCAGTGACAGCAACTGTTCTTCACTGTAACCTCAGCAAAGGATTTTCTCCAGTATCAAACACTAGAATGAAATTGAAACATAAAGTCAGGTCTTCCAAAAAGAGAACACAAGTAGTAAGGGAGTTGCCTCATAGACAACTGAATATGCACGAGGAGTTATATTTCATTTACTTTTAAGTTAAAGAAAATACAGTCTTTTTCTCCTGCTTAAGGCAATTTGATCTTACCCCATGGCAGGGCAGGAGGGAATTTGCAGGGCTTTTAAAGCTAGTTCAGCTGTCTGCTGAGACCAGGATCTGGCTTGGCCACCAGGCATGTATTGTACCCACCCCATACCCAAGTGGGAGCTGGTGGAAATGCAGCTGAGGATGGAGAGGGTAAGAGAAGGAAAGCATGGTGAATTTCTAATGTATCTGAGAGTGAGCACTGAGAAGCTATTTTCTGTGACAACATCTACTGCTCTTTGGTATAGAAAAGGATGACCTAAAGGCTGAATCTCTTGCTGTTCAATCAACCCGCAAGGGACAAATATGTATGTTGACAAATATTGTATGTTTCCCACTAGGAATAGGCAGAGATTCCTATTTTCCAGAGGATTTGGCTCCAGAGCATAATAGGGGTTAAGAGTCCTGCCCTATGCTGACATCAAGTAACCAACTTTGGGAAGTTCAGTTCTTGCAGTAAATTTAGGGTGACCCAAGGGAAAGGCTTTTTTTTGGATCAGGTAACCTTCAGGTCAGACTGTTCAACAGAGGTGTCATGACACCTGCTTTCACTTTGCTCTTATCACAGTCATGTTTTTGACTCTCTGGGACAAAGAGTTTCAGATAGAGAGTTTAGAAAAGATACATGCTGTGCAGCATCACTAAACTCTTTACATATGGTTTTACAGTTCTAATAACCTGGTTTTGAACATGTCTCCTTACGATCACCACTTCCAAATGACAGTGCTTTGGAGAACCATCATGCAGTACTGTACAGCAGTTCCCAAGCTAGAGCACTTGCATTCTAGAAGAATATAACTTGGTTTTAGCTTGTTATGCATTTTTCTTTGAGACTGTGAATAGTATAAACAAGTTTTTACACTAGCCTGCTCTGAACAAGCATACTAGATTATTAGCAGGAACATGAACAGAGGAAGTAGTGACTAAAACCAGTACGCTGATTATCTCAATTTTATTTTATTTTTTTTCTTTTCTTTTTGCAAGCATACCTTCCAGCCTTTGTTGTAAGACATCAGCTAGAGCTGACTGCTTAAAAATATTTCAGATGTTTGCTCCCACTACCACTCTACATGGTCTGTTCCAAGACCTCATATTTCTGATGTCCGAAATAAGTTGTTTGTCAAGAACAGCATAGACTTAATTTGTTCCTGACCTGGAACTGGAGACAGTGGCTGGGGATATCCTCATTTCAGTTTTTCTACCATGCAAGTGAAAAAACAGAGTTCTGTCAGGATGACTGTGTACTGTTGGCTTCATGCATGCATCTGCAATATTTGTATTCTAGTATTATGCACCACCCCTACCAGAGCTTCAGCATTATATTTACCCCAGGATGGTATGCCCACTGCAGTCCAAGCTGGTGACCTGAGCATCATCGCATTTCAGAAGCTGTTTTGGGACTGCTTAATGCTTTTGTCTAACTGGCCTGCAATCCTGAACAAAGAAAGCCCAGCAGCCTGTAAGGGCTGGAGTTTCACCAGCACAGAAGCTGGAGGCCGTGGAACCGTGATGATGAGCAGAGCATTCGCTGCTTTCTATCAGTCCATCTCATCATGCTTTGAAAAGGGAGTATCCACTGTGTATTTAAGTTTCAGTAGAAAAACAGCTTTTCTAGCAGATGAACGGGGATAGAATATCTGTGCAAGAAGGGGTTTAAACCTTAGTGTTAAGCCCCAAGGATGAAGTAATTAGATTTTCTTGTGCTACACTTTTCTGATGACCTGCAAATACAACTGAAGCTGTTTACACTCACAGTTTCAGAAACTGAAGCTGATCTGAAACATGTCCTTTGTTTACTGCATTATTGCTAACCCCTTCCAGAGTTGTCAGTACAGTCAGACAGAATGTAGGTAGTTTGTGTAGATTAGCATAGGAAAATACTGTGTTTTGGGTTGTGTCCCTCACTGCAAGTTT